TTTGTACAGCAATAGAAAGTGAATATGCCATCTCCTGGTTTTTAAATTCAGTGTCTAAGTTTCCCTCCTTAAATCTGTAATTAGCTCTTTTACGGACGGACTCACTTTCTACTCTGATAAATCTGGCCTGCTTTGTGTTACAAGATCTATATTTTTGTAACCAGAGCTGAGTTCTATTTGAACATCTTGCCGTGTTTACTCTAAGGTCAAACTTGGGTAGAAGTCTAATTCCGTCCAGGTGGAAGCCTCTCCTCACAGCCCACTCTATCCTCTCCTTCTGGGAGCACTTTTCACTCTGCCCTGGTGACTCGATCTGTGGCCCGTGTAAAGTGGAGTCGTGACTTGTCACTGCAGCCCCTGGCCTCCAAGGCTCTGTTGGACCCACATGTCACAGGTGTGCTCTGTGCCTTGGCCTCAGGGACGCTGCCAGGGAGCCTGCAGGAACCCTGGCTCAGCCCCACTGCCCCACGCCTGCTCCTTCTCTGCAGTCTTTAAACCATTGCTGAAGGTGGAACTAGCAACCAGCTTTGACTTTCGGGTCCCTGTCCCAGTAGGAGAACTTTCCCAGCAGCTAGGGTCCGAGGTAAGTGTGGAGAGAAACACAAGGTGTGTATCCCTGCACACCTTGACTGGCTTCCACGCCCGGGGCCTTCGGAGCCAGCTCTGCTGGTTTTGGACTTTTACCTGGCTCCCGAGAACACAGAGCAAGGCTGGTCTGACTGTTCATCTCTGCTCTGCTTGACCCGCTAAGTGCCCGCAGCAGAAGAGCGGGTCAGGGGTGGGCTCCCAGGGCCGTCTCAGCTGGAGTGCACAGCCATTTCATCTTGCTTCAATTTTCTCTTCTCCAAAACAGAGCTGATAACATCTGCCCGCTTCCCTTACAAGTCTGTTAAGTGAGCCAAGGGAGAAGAAGTATCTGAAAGTGCTTTGAAAACTGTAGCAACAGACAAAAATGTTAAGAAGTAGCATTTGAAGTCCTGGCAATAACTCAGGCCTGTCCCCAAACATGGGACAAGACTTTTACCTAAGAGGATTCAGTTTAAGCAAACTAGGTGGTAAACATGATCCATTTAATCACAATTCAAGGTCAAGCTATAGAAGCTGTGCTCTCTCTGACACTTGTAAAAGGCAGTCTTTGGAGAGCAGCCAGACATTTCATGGACTATAGGTTTTGGGTACAGATTTGTGAAAGGTCCCTTGAATATTCCAAGTCCATTCAGCGAGGGTAGGAAGCACTTTCAGATCTGTGTCGGCAGAGAGTGAATTGAAAAGACATGTTTTCTTGTCACGTGGCATTGCAGCTGGAGAGGAAAAAAATTAAAAGAACTCTCAGGATATATGTTGGATACAAATAAATTTGTTTCCAGACAGTCAAGTGGTAGGCTTTTATAAAGAGGCACCAGATGTTTCTATGCAATGGATGATTTTATTGTCTTATTTTCCATCCAAATAACACAGAACCTTGGATATATACTGTTACCAGATGGACCTGACCCAATCTTCTTTATGCTGAACACTCTTAAAATGAGCTGTGGCCCGTGAGTCAGAAATGCATGTTGCAAAAACGGGAGTCAGCCCGACCAGGAGAACCCAGGGCAACGAGGCTGGGCAGGGCCCAAGTGGAGCAGGTGCTTTTTTCTGTAAGTGAAAAGGGAATTCACAGCACGCGGGCAGAGCACATGACAGACAGTGAGGCCACTGTGAATGGCAACCAGAAAGGCTCAAGAAGAGGGAGGACACAGGCACGGACTGGGGACAGAGTGAAGAATGTAGGGACTGGGAGCCTGGGGTTGGTGGCCACACAAGGCCACACAAGTTGGGAGCCACACAAGGACGCCATGAGGTTCCAGTTAGAGGTGCAGATGCAGAAGCACAGACTAGGAGGCTGCACTGAGTTTCAGGGGCCAGAGTGAGAGGGGCCCAGTGGGCAGAGAGGAGGGCTCTGCCGCAGCGACCTGCAGGTTGCAGACTGCCAGCTCCTCCAGCGCTGCACGGTCCTTCCTGTTGTTGGACTTCGCAGCACCCTGTAAAGTAAACACTGTTATCCTTATTGTTAGGATGAAGGGCATGAAAGCAAAGATTAATTGCACAGGCTAATAATCTACGTAGCCTGGAACGTCATCTGAGGCATGGAGTTGGGCAAATGTAGAGGTGCTATTTCGCACTGTCTAGAAAAACTAATTTCTGGATTCTCGGCCACTGACCCTGCTGGGCATAAGGAGAGGGATTTCAGTGCAGAGACCTTGATTCCCTGTGATCTCTGCTTGAAAATTGCTGTTTCAACCTGAACACATCCCCCCACCTTTTCTTTATTCTTTTTTTTTTAAACTGGGGACTTAATCCAGCAATGCTTTACCACTGAGTAATATCCCCAGTCTTTTTACTTTTTGTTTTGAGATGCTGTCTCACTGAGTTGCTTATGTTCTCGCTAATTTGCCAAGGTGGCCTCAAACTTGCAATCCTCCTCTCTCAGCCTTCTGAGTTGCTTGGGTTACAGGCAAATGCCACTATGCCTGGCACAAACTCATCTCTCTCTTTTATTATCAGATTATCAAAAGCAAGAAAGAGCCAGTAGATGGACAGGTGCATGCTAGCTAACACGTGGAGTTTATTTTACAAAAAGGAAGAACAGATTGATTGGCTGCTACACTATCCAACATAGTCACAGCTAAATGTTTTGAGTAAGCCAATCATGTACCAAGCGGACTGATAAGAAGGGAGACCTCCTGATACATACCAGAGAACACCAGTCATTTTAACTAATATTTCATGATTCTCACATGTTTATTCTTAAATATATTTCATAAGAAAGTTGATTTCCAGTTTCACATTCTATGATGCTGCATGGCACACCTATTTAGGACTTTCTCTTGGGCCATAGCAATCTGTGTTCCCACCTCTCATGGGGCCACTGCAGACAGGTGCATGGCGTCAGCCTTTCCTACAGCCTACAGCACTGTGAGCAGCATACAGTAGGTGTCAACTCGACACATGCTGCATGAAGAGATCAGATCACAAGACTCACTGAACTTGTTAGTACACACACACAATGTGCCTACCACATGCAGACTTGGGCAAGGAGGCTGTCATCCCTATTATATATGTCACCATAGTAGGGTGCTCTCTTCTCTAGTATTACACACAAAAGCAGCTTACTTAATGCTCACAGTTGCTTCTGATGCACCCCAGAGCAAGGGTGGCAATACAGCACTTGTTGCAGTAAGGGGTGAGCTGCCCAGGCAGCAACCCGCCCTGCACCTGCTGTGGGCTCTGTGTATCTGGATGCCTGGTCCATCCATGCTCTCTGTGCATCCACACAGCGTACACACGTGCTCAGACACACACAAGCACATGTCTGGCACGTTACCTGAGACCCTGGGCCTCTTCCCTGTTGCCCTGGTCCTATGCCCCGTGCTAGATGGTGGGGCTTGGGGGAGCATTGTTTATTTTGAAATGGATCTTGTTGAAGCAGATCATAGGGTCTCACGGTAAAACACAGATGGAATAAAAATAGAAATACTTGCAGGCTGGCCTGGTCCGGCTGGGCTTCCTGCTGAAATCAGAATTCGAATCTGGCCTTCAATGAGGGGAAGGAAGGGCTGGCGCTTGGGGTGTGCAAGTTGAGAGCGCCTGTGTGCACACGTGCAGGAGCACAAGTGGGGGAGCGGCCAGTCCAGCAAGCTCTCTCTCGGGACACCCCGTGAAGGAAGTGGGGAGGGGAAAGAAGGAGGCCCGTGTCCGGTCCACTGGGTCCAGGTTTCTGACTCGAGCAAGAGGAAACTGAGGCTCTGAGAACTAAGTGGTTCTGAGCCTCACACAGTCAACTCCTGGCAAAGCCGAGCTTCCCCACGGTCCTCACTCCTGGGAACCCCTGACTTGTCCTCATCCTTCCCTCCCCATCCTGTAGGCTCCTCCTTGGTGTTCTGTTCACTTGTTAAGCTCCTGAGTTAACAAGTGGTTCCTCTAGATTCTAGAATATAAAATAGAATATTCTAGAATATTAAAAGAGCCCCATGTTCCAGTAATACATGCACCCCACTGGGCTTCAGAAAGCAAAAGCCGAATTTTGTGATTCAGTTGCGAGAAGTGATAATGGGAGGCGATGAAGCCTGGGTGTGTGTCCGTGTGTGTGCACCTGTGTGGTGTGTCTGTATGCACATGTGGTGGGTGTGCACACAGGTGGGTGGCACAGTGTCTGGCAGCAAGCTGAGCTGCCACTGCCTTTCAGTGACTGTCTAGCCTGCTTATTGTGGTACCAGAGTTGGAGACTATAGGTGGCTTGGGCCTCACTCTTCTCTGCTGGGCTGGCTGTGATGGATCCTCATGTGTCCCTGTAGTCCCCAAGCCTCTGAGCCAGGCAGCAGACTGAGAAAACCTCAGCCCCCCCCCCCCCCACAGCACTGTGGCCGCTTCCACATGTTCCAAGAAACATAATTCAGAAAACATCTTGCATAGCCTCTGGCTCTGGCAGGAGGAACGGAGAGCACATTTTGTTTGAATATGAGGAAAGACTTTTCCAGTGCTTAGAATGTTATAAAACCATATGAGCCAGACATGGAGGAGCACTGGTAAGTACGTCCACTCAGGGGGCTGAGGCAGGAGGACCACAAGTTTAGGCCAGCCTGGACAACTTAGCCAGACCTGTCTCAAAATTAAAAAAAAAAAAAAATTAAAAAGGGCTGGGGATGTTGCTCAGTGCAAACCCCCGCCTCCGGGTCTGATCCCTTGTACTGTAAAGACCAAACCAAACTAAACTAACCCCAAACTCACAAATGAGCTTCCTTGTGAGTCTATGAAGTGCCATTTTTAAGGTTTCTAGGATCATCTTTGGCTCGGGGATGTGTTGGGAGAGCTTTCTGCATGGAGTGTGGGGTGCTACCTGACGACGTCCTTGGGACTGTTTTCTTGGTTTGTGGCAAGCCACTCTCTGTTCACACACAGAGCCGTCCTCAGGCCCCTGCCCACACACAGCCACACCTGCAGCGCTGCGCGCAGGAGGACGGCTGCACGTTCATGTGATCAAAGTCGCTTTGCTAACTAGCAGCAGAGAGGTCCAGCTCATCCACATTCCTGCCAGCTCCAGGGTGACGAACTCGGTGGCAGCAGATCAAAAGGGGCATGTTTGGCACACGCAGATGGGTCCCACCGCGGTCCCATGACAGAAAGGGAGTTGGGATGGTTCCAAGCCTATCGCTGTGGATCTGTATTCTTCAGGCTGCTCGGGGTCCCAGAGACTCACAACACTTCCTACTGAGCTTGGCCTCATGGAAAAAAATCCTAACTCCCCTAGCAGTGGCTCTAATGAGCACCATCATTACCACCGCCGTGACTGCTGCCGAGTCCGATGACAGGTCTGAGTCTCTGCTGAGCTACGGATAACCCAAGGCTGCAGCAGAGGGTCCCAACAGGAGGGACCCTGGACTGGTGATTGACAAGACCAGCCTGGGATACGGGTAAGCCTCTGGTCTCTTCCTCCATTTATTATTATGTGTTGCATTATGTTATTTATACTAGATAAAACGATAGTATATTATTTTACATTTATGTATTGTATTCTATTCTATGTTGTCACATGTAACTATTATGCTATATCATGGGTTATATTATTTCAACCAACAGGAATGGGGAAAGGACACACAGGCAGGCTGAATGGTCCTTATTTTAGAACTTCCCAGGGTAAAATAGTCTAAGGAAGTCAACCCTGTCCTTCTCTCACACTCATTCACGGTAAGGAGGGACTTGCTACAGCCTGACAGGCGAGGGGCGGCTGGGTCCTGCCTTGGCTGCAGGAAGGAGGCTTACCAGTGAGGCCTGATGTGGTTGGAGTCCATGCTATCCAGCCCAGTGTCGGCTGGTGGCAGGTCGGGGAGAGCCACTGGCTCCTGTGAACCCACCTGTTTTGGCCTGGAAGACCTTGCTCCTTGGCAGCTTAACTAGGAGCACATTTTCTTTCTGCATCTCCTTTGCCCACCTGGCCCATGCATCTCCTTGCCTGCTTCTTCTGCTGCGTCAGCCCGTCCTCTTCCTCTGCCTGGCCTCTCCCCTCCTGCACCACAGGCCTTGCCACCCCTGCACTCCTCTGAGTGCTCCCTCTGCTCTTGAGGGGCCAGAGAATCCAATCTGAGCAGAGCCTTCCCATTGCCTTCTGAGAAGGCCAGTCCTTTCCAGAGGGTTCTTGGTCCTCAGGATTCTCACTGTGCGGCACTTTGCCCTGGGTATGTGGCTCACGGGGTGTGCTCTGCATGTCGGCAGTACCACACTTCCTTCAGGAGACTTCTGCTCTGTCACATGCACAAGCCGGCCACTTGGAGTGGGAGAGACAGACGGGGCAAGACAGAGGAGAGGGAGGGAGGGCAGGGGGAGCGAGGACTCCAGATCCATGTTTACCCCGCCCTGCTCTGACGTCTCATGGTGGGCAGGCACACTTGCTCTGCCACCCTGGCTCTGACCTCAGGCTGAGGCCCTCTTGCAGGGCTGCCATGGGGCTGCACATTTGCTCTGGAGATATAATGTCAGGTTTTATGCAGCCTGCAATCCATTTACTGGGCCACCGTTTACCTTGACAAAAGCGTTGACCCTTCTTGATTGGAAATTAAGAAAGGAATCTCAACCTCTTGGTAAACCCGTCTTTCTTTCTGCTGCTGCCTTTCATTCTAGGGCGGCAGAAAGCACGCCTTCCCAAGGCCCGAAGGACGCACCAGCAGGTGAAGACCTGTGGCTGGCGCAGCTGAGGAGGAGGAATGTAGGCTGGAATTTTGCTAGCAGATGGCTTTGCAGCCCCAGTGGTTAAATGGGAACATCGCGCAGAATGGGGTAAACACAGGTGTTCAGGACTCTTCCAGGGGCCTGAGAGACCGAGAGGCACCCGCGCTCTGCTGCAGAGCAGGGTGGTGGCTGTTGGGCCTTTGGCTGCAGCTGCCAGCACTCATGGGTGGCATGGAGAGCGTAGCTTCTCGGCTGTGCTGTCACCCTGCAGGCACCTGTCCAGGGCACAGTTCAAACAGGAAGACCCCACACAGGGTCTGGTGCTCTGTGAGCCCTTCCCACCCCTCCCTTCCTCCAGGAAGTGGTCTGGGGAGTGTTTGAGGTCAGCCACGTATGTGATTTCCTCGGATCTTTCTTCAGTAATGTCCTTCTCCCCTGAGCCCTAGCATGGTGGACCTTCTTCAGCACGACCACATTCCCCTGTCCCAAGCTGGCTGGAAGAATCCGCGTGGCTTTTCCAGGGGACAGATCTTCAGACTTCTCCTGGATCCTGCCGGTGCTGCCTTGCCTGCAGTGCCACACATTCGAGTCCTTGTCAAAGGCGCGTGCCTCTGTGCTCACAGACGAGGCTCTGGGTTGGTTCTGCTTGGCACTGTGCAACGCAGGCTCTAAGAACCAACTGCACGCTTTCCACAGCACTGACTCCTGTGGGTTCAGCTGTCTCTACTCTTACTCTGAGAGTAAAATAAAACCTTCCAAAGTCAGTGGAGGCAAAGTAAACTAACTGAGAAAGCATTTCATTTCTGCTAAGTGGCAGGTGGGGCCCTGGCCCTCTCTCAAATCCTGGCCTCGGGCTTCTTAGATTGTTTCTTGGGGAGGAGGGTCCCTCCACATTCCTCCCGAAGCCGCTGGACTCTCCCTTTTAATCCTGTCTCCAGTGCCCCAGTCACAGTGACTCCCCTTTGCCCAAGAGCAAGCTCTTTCTTGTCACAGTGAAATGCCTCCTGTCACAGTGCCGGGTGACTTTCAAGTCGGGGTTGAAGGGACCTTTGTATTTCACAGCAAACCTGGGATTCCCAGTGTGGTGTCGGGTTGGTGATTCACATATCGCACTTTTTTGTTTAGAAAATGAGGCCTTTTCAGAGAAAAAAAAATCTAGATTGTTTCCATGCGTCTCTGTAAACGACCACATCTTTCTGCTTTTCCCAAGAGGCCAAGCCAAAGCAGATCTCGTTTTGCTTCTCTGTTGCCGAACACAGGGCCTCACGGCATTCTTCTAGGATATAAATGACAAATGGAAGTCAGAGCTTTTCAGAGAAACTCTGGAGTGGGTGTTTAAAAACAAAGAAAATCAAACCAAGGTGGATCTAACAGCACCCACAATGTGTCATCATCAGGGCGCCACATTCTTTTCTCAGCTCTGTCCGACTGTGACCTCGGGGAGTGTCTTGTGTCCTGTCTGGGCTTGGCTTTCTCACACATCAAATAGAGCCACTGAGGTAAAATGTGTTCTGAAAACCTTCATAGTCTGCAAATGGAACTGGGCTTTGAAGAATGGAAAACGCTAAGAGAGAATGTGGGGAGCCTGGAGTCCTGCAGTCTGAGGTGTGGAGGTCAGCAGCAGCTCCGTGCTGAGGCCTCCTGAGGAGTCTCCACACTCTGCAGAAGCCCAGTGACCTCTGTCCATCTTCCCTCCATGCACTGAGTGAAACCCTCACACCTTGACTCACATTGAATTGGAGTCCAATTAACAGTCTGAGGTTCTTGTGTTGGAGAACAGTGATTTCAGATTAGGAGGCAGCTGAATGGCCTTCCAAGGGCCTTGCACCTACTAAGATGGTATGGAGGTGTAGGATCACTGAGGATGTGTACTGATCATGGGAGCAGAACCTGCCTGCCCTCTGCTGCAGTCCCTAACTGGAAGGCCATGCTGCCCTCCACGTCCACCAGGGGGTGCTCACCCTCTGACAGGCAGGGCCCTGCCCGCTGCCCTGAATCCGCCCATGCAGAACAGCTGCCTCTGGGCTGGCCTCGGCTTCTCCAATGCCATCATGCTGCTTATGCCAGGAGAATAACCTTGCTAAAAAGTGAGAATACGGCATTCTGACTAAAAAATGGTGCCCTATGAGTACAAGCTTCCTCATAGCTCTCACCACAGTCATAGCTACATGTAATATCCTTCTAGTGCATTTAGACAAAGCTTCGTTAATTGAAACACAGACGGCTAGAGAAGACAAAAATCTATGGCAAAAATAAAATTATCAGTTTTGAATTTTTTTTAGCTCTTTTTTCAGTAAAATCCTTCAAAATGAACACATGCTGGTGGTCAGTACCTAATGATCCTGGCTTTTAGAATCCGAATGATAACATTTGGTCATAGCTGTGGAAGAGAACACAGTAAAAATTTAAAATTTCACTCCATTCGATCTAATTAGCACACAGCAGTTGTAGGGAGTGCTCGTGATGCAGGGTGGTACCTCAGTATCTGTACACAATTTGTATTGATCCAATCGCAGAGCCTAGCATTTCCCTCTTCTTATCATTTGTTACCTTTGAGCCTTTCTGCTCCTCTCTTCTGCTTCTTCATAAATATCAATGAGACGGGTGCTCTGCGTCACTGCCCTGCGCTCGGTGGACTGGGACGCTGTCCTCCTTGCTAGGAGTGTTCCGGAGCAGTTAGTCACCCTCCCTCCCTCCCTCCCTCCCCACTGGCCGGGCTCTGGGAGTGACCGCTGCACTCACTCCTGCTTGGAGACTGCCGTTATCAGTTCCCATGGGCAGAGAGGACTTCTGAAGCTCTTCTTTCGTGCCTGACTCATTTCACTGGAACTGACGTCTTGCAGTTCCGTTGGTTGTTGCCACAGATAACAAGATTCTGTGATTTGGACCTCAGTGGGGAGGCGTCTCTTTGCCAGGCGGACTTCGTTTCCTTTGGGTGCATCCCCAGAAGTTGGGTGGCTGGACCGCACAGCAGCTCTGTTTTGAGTTTCTCGAGGTCCAAACTGTTTTCCATCATGGCTGGACTCCTTCACCTTCCCACCAGCAGTGTTCCCTTTCCCCACGCGCTCCTAGTGCAGAGAACACAGTAAACCTGAAGGCATTCAGATGACTCAGTCCTCAAAGTCCTATTTCATGCCATGTTCTTGGTCTCACATATGTTGGGGATGTGAGGGCCGGAGGATGGAGGGGTAGAAGAGAAAAAAACCAACCAACCAACCAGCCAACAAGAAACTGGAAGGAAGAAGCCAGATTGAGCTGGCTCTAGACATCCCTGTCTGTCCTGCTTCTCTCCCATCCAGTAGGTGGCCTCGTCTGTTGTAAGCTGGTGTCTTGCCCCCAGGATGGTGGAGGTAACCCGGGTGGGAAGACTGTTCCTGGCACAGGGCGCCTGGATGTGGGGAGTGGCTCCCACCAGTCCCTGCAGAAAGACTGCACCTCACGGGTCTCTTTTGGGGACCCCTTGCTCCTCAGACGTGAGCATCGGGTACTATCTCCCTCTCTTGCCTGTAGATTTCCCAGTTCTTGGTCTCTCCCTCCTCCCCCTCATTCCCAATTGAGGAAACTCTCACCCTGGGGCTCCCGTGGGCAGCTCCCTGGTCACACTGCACACCTGTGTGGGGCAGCTACTGTGTTGAGTTTCCGCCGCTGGGGAAGGGAGAAGGCTGCAAACCTGGTACCTGGTACCTGGCCGCAAGGTACGCCCTTAGCTGGTTATCAGGACTGTATTTCTAAACTGTCAACCTGGAAATCACATAATGTTCTCTCTCCTCTAAGCCTTCCACCAGCTCCCATGTAACTGGAAAAGTCCAAAGGGACACACATCTCACACACGTGCTACATGCAACACACATGAACACCACACACACATACACACATTTCAAAGGCTCACTGGCACCCAGGGCACCATTCCTTCTCCCTTCTTTCTGCAGGGGTCCCTGGAGGGCTCAACAGTGAGTGTTTCCAGGAAGTGAGCCCTGACACACAGACAGGGAGGCGGACAGACCTACGGCTGCTGATGCATGGAAGATTCCAAGTTCCCCGTTTCCCGTCCTGGCACGTCTGGTGTCCAGTTTTTGTGGTGGCTGGCTAGTTTTGGAAAAGGCGGCAGTGCTGGTGAGAGGGAGTGAGTGGGCAGGGGCAGCTCTGTGGGGCTCCACTCCACCCACGCGCACAGGGGGGCCTTCAACGACTCCTCCCAGCCGCCTTCCAGCCGGCCTCTTTTGGGCTGATGAATTTTCTGAGGGACACAAGTCACTTTCTATTTGGTGGTGGTGCTACAGACAGGAGGCCAGAGGATTCACCCACTGGAATAAGAGGGGCAGCCTTGCACGGAGTAGACGGTGCAGACAGGCTGAAGAGGCGAGGGCCCATGGGGAGGTGGCTGCCTCTTCCCATCATTTCTAGGTGTCCCATCAAGTCAGATTGCCAGGTAAGAATAAGGAGGAACAGGGAGGGAGGAGAGAAGCAGTGTGCTAAGTAGCCGGCCTAGGCTAGCAGTTCTAGGTGGTCTACGGAGTCCCCTGGGGTTCCCCAGACATCCACAGGTAGCCAAGGAATCAAACAATTTTCACAATAAAATCAAGATGTTTCTTCTTTTTAAGTTATGTTCACGTTTAGTGAACATAAAAGCAGTGCTGACTAAAATGCCTGGCCCAAGCAGAAATCAAGGAGGTGACACCCGAGGTACTTCATGCCTGGCAGGCCACACCCCTGCAGTCACAAGGCACACACAGACAGTGCCCATTTCTCTTATCGCCTGATGGGGCTGCAAGCACTGCCCTGCCTAGCCACGCGCCTCTTGTGAGCCTCGAGTGGGGGAGAGTGGACATAAGGCACCTGCCTCATGGCACCACAAGGAGTGTCCACACCATGTCAGGGTAGAGAACTGCGCGAGTGCCCTGTAGGCTCCAGGCTGAGAGACCCGCTCGTTCCATGAAACACCATTTTTATTTGAACAGATTTTGAAACACAAATTGGTCACTTATTTGTTCTAAATGCTGATATTGGAACTCTGACATGAAGATCATGAAAATGGAAAGACTCCTTCCTTGTCTGTGCCTGACACCTTCTCCATACTCACCTCTGACCCTGAGGCCTGGATAGTGACCGCACACCTGTCGCAGTGTTACCATCATATAATTAAATGCACAGACATTTGGAAAATCTGGACCACTTGACAATCCAGATTCTCCTAAAAGACCAGTGCACAAGGTCAAGAAATCCTATGTGAGTGAAAGATCTGTCCCAAGGCCATAGCAGAGCCACAGGGGACACTCCTGTGGAATCTGTCCACCTGGAAATCAGATAACACCTCCGCCAAGAGCCCTTCAGAAAGCCACCCTGTCCAAGTTCTGGGTAGAATCAGAGAATCTTGAAGACCGTCACCTGAAAAGCCACCGGAACACACTTCAGACCGGGTGACCTCAGCTTCACCCCCGCCCACCAGCTAATTGGCTCGTTAGAGGGACTGGGCTGTGTGGGCCTCAGAATGATCCAGAATGCGGAGAGACCGGCTCTGACAGAGAGGACCAAAGGCTTGGAAGGAGAGGCTGGGGACGTCGCAGGCTGTCCGGCCTGCTGGCCTGGATGGGCGGCACCTGTCCCTGTCTGTGTACCCCCTTGCTCTGGACCACAGTCTGAAGACAGGTCTGGGCTGAAGCAGATGCTGGCTGACAGGGAAGGCCCTGCTGGTCCTTCTCTCTTCCACCTTGGAAATGCTGTCTGCCTCCTCTTAGGCTGGACGGAGGGATATCCCAGGACAGGGAAGGGTTCCGAAAGCAGGTGGAGACGCGTATCTTCCTGTGCCTGTAGATCCCTCTGGGTCACATTTGCCTCTTCCCCAAACTCTCCATCTTTCCCCCAAGCACTGGGCCTCTGGGACATCCATGCCTGTCTCTGGTTTTCAGGGAATTCAGAAGGTTCAGAATCCTGCCCTTGCCTAAAGGACTGGAAGGGATCGGGAGCCAGGGAAGAGGGGGTAGTGGGAGCCGGAAATGCCAAGCTGTGTTCAGTCCCTTTCTCAGGCCTCTCAGGGCCACGCTGCAGTGGGCCAGGCCTGACTCCATGCCCTGCCAAGCGAGTCTCAGTGCACTGCAGCTGCTGAGTTCCCCGGAACCAGCAGGGGGCCCGGGGCTGGGAAAGGGCCACATTACAGAAGGGCTTTTCACTTTTAAATGGGACAAGAGCAGTTCTGAAAGGGTGTAAGCCATGATCTAGCAGGGTTCTAGGTGAGTTCTGTCATTTGAGTTACTGAAAATGACATTGGAAGAAATGACAAAAGCAAGACCTGACCTTGAGCAGCTGGAGTTCATGCTGCACGTTAGCCTTGGGGAGCTTCAGCACAGCTGGAGCTCCCAAAGTTCTCGCTCTAGGCTCACCTTTATTCCAAGCCTATCTGTCTTCTTCGTTTCTTCTTGTGGTACTAGGGGTCAAACTCAAGTCTCACCCGTGCTAGAATGTTGTCTTTATTTTTTTAAATGCTTTTAGGGAAATAAGGAAAGTGTCTAGGAATAAACGAGCAGGACCAACGCCTCCTTGGCAGAGCTCAGCCTGAGTCTCCACGGGCAGAAGTGGTTGGCACTGAGGGGCCAGCCCTGCCCACATGCTGTGCTTGGAGAATTCGAGTGAGTCACGTCCTCCTTTTCCTTACCTCTTTCCCGACTCTCAGCCTACTGTCCATTCAGCAGCGGGGCCACCTGCTCTCCGCTATCCATCAGACCCAAACCTTGACTTCGCACACATATACATTATTTTAGTAAAAGTATGGTGGTCAGAAGCAAGAATTATCAAATGTAAGCTTTCCTGTGCGAGAGAGGAACCATGGGGCACACCACCAGGGGACGACAGGTGGAAGGGGGTGGGGGTGCTTGGTGACTTCCCAGGATGTGCAAGGCCCTGGGTTCCTTACCATTGCAGGCAAGACTGTAAACAAAGGCGACAGACAGATGCAGAGAGACGTTGGCTGCCCTCAGAAGAATACATATAGACCTGCCAGAACCACTCTACACAGCAACCCCACAAGCAGGTCACTCTGCTGGGCTGCTTCTAAAGCCAGGCTGATTGGCACTGCTACCCCACGTGCAGCAGCTCTAGGGAGCAGGGGAGGGGGAGCACATATGCAGCATGTTAGTTTTCACAGACTCAATGAGTTCAAGCTTGGGAAGGCGTGTCGCAGTACATCTGGCCCACACCTTTCATGTTGGGGCAATGATGATTCAAAAGTTTTAGCTGACACTAAAATAAATCCAACTTCCTATTTTCTTTGGTATGTTATCTCTCCCTGTACAGCCCACATGAACTCTCACATGCACACGCTCAGACATACTCATGTGCACACACATACACTAATTCACAGACACATTCACATGCTCACACATGCACAGGCACATGCTCAGACACACATACACACATACTCACTTGCACACAAAGACTCTCACAGTCTCACAAATGCACCGCTCAGACACACTCACTTGCACAGGCACACATACCAAAATGCACAACTGACAGGAAGGAAGGCATCCCAGGCAAGTGTGTGTGGTGCCAAATCATCTTTAGTAAAGTTGGGGGGAAAAAAGAAGAAAGGAAATCTGTCTAAAATGTTCAGGATAATTATTTTTTTTTTTATTTTTTAAAATAGTGCCTTACAAGTGGGGAAGCCAGACTGCTGGAGAAAACACGGCGGCAGGAAGGGAGTGAGCTGCCCCATGCCCCACGCCTTGGTGCCCGCAGATCTCCCCTGGTCGGAATACTCCGTCTTTGAGAGTGTTAGAGGACCCCATCCAGCTGCTCTCCGCAGACATCACCAGCACTGTGACCCCACACGTGGGGCTCTGGGCCTCAGCACTGGAGCAGGACACCAGGCGTTGGAGCAGGACCCAAAGCCGGAAGTTCCAGTCCACGCAAGACTCCTCCAGCGCCTGGCAGAATCGCCTCTCAACACATCTGCAGGTTGCCAAGACGTCGCTCGGCTCCCACGCAGGTCACCCCGCTGCTACCTACCCACAGCACAACGCCATCGCCTGACTCCCCCACCTCACCAGGCCCCCACCTCACCAGCCTCCCCCACCTCACCATACACCCCCACCTCACCAGGCCCCCCCACCTCACCAGGCCCCCCACCTCACCATACACCCCCACCTCACCATACACCCCCACCTCACCAGACACCCCCACCTCACCATACACCCCCACCTCACCAGGCCCCCCACCTCACCAGACACCCCCACCTCACCAGACACCCCACCTCACCAGGCCCCCCACCTCACCATACACCCCCACCTCACCAGGCCCCCCACCTCACCAGGCCCCCACCTCACCAGCCTCCCCCACCTCACCAGACACCCCCACCTCACCAGGCCCCCCCACCTCACCAGGCCCCCACCTCACCAGGCCCCCCACCTCACCAGGCCCCCCCACCTCACCAGGCCCCCTCCACCTCACCAGGCCCCCTCCACCTCACCAGGCCCCCCCACCTCACCAGGCCCCCTCCACCTCACCAGGCTCCCCCACCTCACCAGGCCCCCCACCTCACCAGCCTCCCCCACCTCATCAGGCCCCCCACCTCACCATACACCCCCACCTCACCAGGCCCCCCACCTCACCATACACCCCCACCTCACCAGGCCCCCCACCTCACCAGGCCCCCACCTCATCAGGCCCCCCACCTCACCATACACCCCCACCTCACCAGGCCCCCCACCTCACCATACACCCCCACCTCACCAGGCTCCCCACCTCACCAGGCCCCCCCACCTCACCAGCCTCCCCACCTCACCAGGCCCCCACCTCACCAGGCTCCCACCTCACCATACACCCCCACCTCACCAGGCCCCCCACCTCATCAGGCCCCCCCACCTCACCAGCCTCCCCACCTCACCAGGCCCCCACCTCACCAGGCTCCCCCACACCTCACCAGGCCCCCTCCACCTCACCAGCCTCCCACCTCACCAGGCCCCCCCACCTCACCAGCCTCCCCACCTCACCATACACCCCCCCCTCACCAGGCCCCCCACCTCACCAGGCCCCCCCACCTCACCAGCCTCCCCACCTCACCATACACCCCCACCTCACCAGGCCCCCCACCTCACCAGGCTCCCCCACCTCTCCAGGCTCCCCCACCTCACCAGGCCCCCCACCTCACCAGGCCCCCCACCTCACCAGGCTCCCCCACCTCTCCAGGCCCTCCCACTCACCAGACACCCCCACCTCACCAGGCCCTCCCACTCACCAGACACCCCCCCACCTCACCAGACACCCCCCACCTCACCAGGCCCCTCCACCTCACCAGGCCCCCCACCTCACCAGGCTCCCCCACCTCTCCAGGCCCCCCACCTCACCAGACACCCCCACCTCACCAGGCCCCCCCCACCTCACCAGACACCCCCACCTCACCAGCCTCCCCCACCTCACCAGGCCCTCCCACTCACCAGACACCCCCACCTCACCAGACACCCCCCCACCTCACCAGACACCCCCCACCTCACCAGACACCCCCACCTCACCAGGCCCCCCACCTCACCAGGCCCCCCCACCTCACCAGGCCCTCCACCTCACCAGGCCCCCCACCTCACCAGCCTCCCCCACCTCACCAGGCCCCCCACCTCACCAGGCCCTCCACCTCACCAGGCCCCCCCACCTCACCAGACACCCCCACCTCACCAGGCCCTCCCACTCACCAGACACCCCCACCTCACCAGGCCCCCCACCTCACCAGGCCCTCCACCTCACCAGGCCCCCCCACCTCACCAGGCCCCCCACCTCACCAGGCCCCCCCACCTCACCAGCCTCCCCCACCTCACCAGGCCCCCCACCTCACCAGGCCCCCCACCTCACCAGCCTCCCCCACCTCACTAGACACCCTGCGCTGGAAGCAGGCCGCCACCATCTTGACTCAGCATTCTCCCCATATTATGTGGGGGCAGTTCCGCACGCCCTTGTGGTACCTCTCCCCTGCCCACCATGCCCACGGTGTGCCGGGGAGAGGGAACACAGCTGCACTGCAAGGGCCTCCCGAAGGGCTCTGGTAAGACTGAGGCCTGCTCTGTGAGCTGTTGAAGTGGGCAGACAACCTCAGCCGTCGGGTTACTGGCTACTGTGCAGTGAGCCACACCCAGGCTTCAGGTTGGCATGTGTTACTATTTTTATGATCCTTTTCTCTATCCTTTAAATGTTTGCTCCACTGTACTATTTACTTATAAATCCACATAAAGTCTGAATCCATTAGATAATGGTGTAAATAACTTGCATTTTTAGGGAGGAATCTTTAAAACTGCTTATATATTTCAGCTTCTGACAAATTGCCAAGACACAAAAGAGCTTCATACACTTTGTTTTACATATAGGAAACCTGTACTGCAAAAGCATTTTCCCTAACTGCTGTTAGATACACCATGAAGAGGCATTTTAGGTTCATGATGAATTTCTTCACTTAAATTAGCATGGGGGCACTATGCTAGTATTCACAGGTAACTATAGAATTCTATGTTGTAATAAAATTATGATAAATGAAGTATCTGCTTAATAATAGAAACATATGAAGTATAACATTTTATCTTATAAATTTAAAGACTAATTTATTTGTTAAAAAGACATTATATGTAAGTTTTAAACAAATCACCAATGGTAAAAACAATAATTAACATGTCTAAGTAAAAGCTTTCAAAGGGATAAGGTTTAAATATTTTCTTTTATAAATGAAGACAATAGGTAGACCAGTATTTGAAGGAGTCATGTTTTACCAATTCTTTTCAAATCTCTTGTCATACATTATTGGTTGTTTTGGCTGTTTTTCTTTTTTTTATTATTGGTTTTATTTTTTAGATACATGACAGCAGAATGCATCACAATTCTTATTATACATATAGAATAATTTTTTGTACCTCTATTTGTATATAAAGTATGTTCACACCAATTCATGTCTTCATATATGTGCTTTGGATCATGATGTCCACCATCCTTGCTAACCCCCTGCCCCTCCCTTTCCCTCCCACCCCTATAGAATTCCCTATAGAATTCATCTAATCATCCCATGCTCCCCCTCCCTACCCCACTATGAGTCAGCCTCCTTATATCAGAGAAAACATTTGGCATTTGTTTTTTTGAGATTGGCTAACTTCACTTAGCATTATCTTCTCCAACACCATCCATTTACTGGCAAATGCCATGATTTTATTCTCTTTTAATGCTGAGTAAAATTCCATTGTGTATATATGACACATTTTTTAATCCATTCATCTACTAAAGGGCATCTAGGTTGGCTCCACAGTTTAATTATTATGAATTGTGCTGCTATAAATATTGATGTGGCTGGGTCCCTCTACTATGCTGTTTTTTAAGTCCTTTGGGTAGGGACCGAGGAGAGGGATAACTGGGTTAAATGGTGGTTCCATTCCCAGCTTTCCAAGGAATCTCCATACTGCTTTCCATATTGGCTGCACCAATTTGCAGTCCCACCAGCAAGGTAAGAGTGTGCCTTTCTCCCCACATCCTCACCAACACTTATTATTGTTTGTCTTCATAATAGCTGCCATTCTGACTGGAGTGAGGTGGTATATTAGAATAGTTTTGATTTGCATTTCTCTAATTGCTAGAGATAATGAACATTTTTTTTTCATATATTTGTTGATTGATTGTATATACTTTTCTGAGAAATCTCTGTTCATGTCCTTGGTGCATTAATTGATTGGGTTATTTGTTTTTATGGTGCTTAGCTTTTTGAATTCTTTATATATCCTAGAGATTAGTGCTCTATCCGATGTGTGAAGGGCAAAAATTTGTTCCCAAGATGTAGGCTCTCTGTGCACCTCACAGATTGATTCTTTTGCTGAGTAAATAGGGAAGAGAGGAGGGAGGGAATGGGAGGAAGAAGGGGAATTGCACGGAAGATGGAAGGAGACCCTCATCGTTACACAGAATACATGTATGATGATGTGAGGAAAAAAAAGAAATGTGTCACATTAGATTGGGTAGATAGAGGTGCTGGGAGGGGAGGGGAGGGGAAGGGGGATAGGAAGGGCAGCAGAAAAAAATAGACACTAGCATTGCTGTATGTATATACGTGGCTGTATAACCAATGGGATTCTGCAGCCTACACACTTGGAAAAATGAGAAATTACACCCCATTTAATTCAAATATATGATATGTCAAGATCATTGTATTGTCATGAGCAACTAATAAAAAAAAGAAAAAGAGTCCACCCCATTTATTGATTCATGGTTTTAATTCTTGTGCTATAAGTGTCTTATTAAGGAAGTGTTTTTGGCTATTTTTCTAAGTGGAGGATAGTTAGAATTGCTTATACACACTAGGACAGGGGCAGGAAAGCCTTAGGGCAAAGCCATTTTTGCCCAGCTCCTGATCCTCAACACCTGTCCCAGGGGTTCTACAGCAGGAGCATTGCTGGGGACTCAGCCAGGTGGCCTGCGAACACAGCCTGACCTTGCTGGGCCAGCTCGGCTGCTGCTGCTGCATGTTTTTGGTACTGGTGATAAAGACGATGGAGTAGGTAGGTTTGGTCAGGGAAGAAATTGAGTACCTTGGGAATCATCCCGGCCTTGAATCACTAGCCTTACACTCGAAAGCCTTCAAACCATCTGGGGCCCGGAGTGGGGACATGAGGGTGGAGCACGGCTTTCTTTTCACCTGTGGGCTCCTTGCCCTGGGGAGAAGTTCCCAGGTCCAGCAAGATGCTTGCATCAACTGCATGGGAGACGACACTCTGTCCCTGAGGGTCTGCATTTGCAATATAGTAAAAATAGCCTGAGCAGGCTGGTGTTTGTCCCCTGGGCAGCCTCCCTCTCCAGTGTCAATGTTTTCGTCTCCTTGCCAGTGCGAACAGCAATTCACAGACCCTTCCACAAGATGCACTCTGCAGTCCTGCCTCCAGTCACCAACATGCAGTCAAGAGTGAGAGACTCTAGTTCGATCCAGTAGCCCACTCGAAACCCACAGCCACACTCAGGGGAGCATCTGAGTGGCCTAGAGCAGCACAAAATAATTTGGTCCAAAAGTTAAAAA